GGTTTTTTTTTCTATATCATTTTGAGTTTGTTTGGGATAATCAGAAAAACGTTTATCTTTCTAATATATATTTTTCGTACGTCCAAAGTTTTAGGTCTGTACAATTATAATATCATCTGTAAGTGTTAACTTTTTAACTTCTAATTAATCTTCTATTTTCTCATACGCTCTAAATATATTTAAGGTTTTCTTTAAGTTTATTTCATACCTTAGCATTTTAATAACTAAGTATTATAAAAGTAAATATTCAGTAGATATTCATTACTTTTTATTTATAAATTAAAATGTTAAATTAAGATATTAAAAATTATCAATATATATTTAAGTTCATACAAATTAAAACAATAATACTTATATCATTTGTTGTATAAATGATCATGTTAGAACTGATATTTTACGGCTGCAGTTTCTATCGTTTTTTTATTAAATAAACAAAATATTTCATTAAAATATGAAATGAAGAATGTTTAACATATTCAGTTATAAAGTGAAAAATAAACTTTAACCAATGCAAAATGGGTTCTATTTTTTAATTTCCCAAGAGTTGACAATAGTGTTATTATTTTATTTGAAAACTACTATTTAATTTTATATAAAAATTATAAAACTATAATTTATGCAGGTGAAGTCTGATATTTGGGAAAATAATTTTTTCGAATCAATTTATAAACAATAAAAAAAAATTCAATGAAGGAGAAAATCCTTTAAAAATACAGTAGCACAAAAGTGATATTATAAAATTATATGAGGTTAAAAATAAGAACGAATATTTTAGTAAGATAGTTATTAAAACACAGATAAGAAAACTAATGATAAAGTTAGTCTTGAAAATATTATACAAATAAAAAATCAAACTCGGACCGAAATGAAAAAAACTAAACCAAAACCATACCAAAATTTTGAAAAACCCAAACAGTTACTATTTCTCAAACCCAAAAAATCAAAACTAAAATCAGAAGCGCACCGATAACCGAATAAGTATCAAAATATTTGAAATATAATAAAAATATTAATTATTATAATATGTAATATAATTTATATATGATAATATGCAAAATCCTTAATTACCTAAACTACCATTTTGGATTTTTGTGGTTAATTCGATTTTTCAAAGTTTTTTGAGATTTATGGCTTTAACGTAACTCAAACTTTTTATAATTCGGTTTCATTTCAGGTTTTACAAAAAAAATATAAATGCAAACCGAATCCAACATTACTTGAATTGAACTGATTCGAAAAATGTTTGGTTCTTACACGGGTCCTAAACACGTATAATTCGTAAAAGTATAAATACAAACTCAATCTAACATTACGCAAACTAAATAAACATCCAACCTGAATTACTATAAGACAACAATGTAAATTGCTTTAACTACAGACGTCAAAATTCAAATATAAAAATTAAAAACCAAACTGTAGTAATTCCTAAATTAGAAAGTTATCCAAAATCTAGTCTAATCTATTAAAAAAGAGTACAAATAGAAAATACCCGTTAGTTTTTCTTAAAAAAATACCATTAAATGCCATTTACCAAACTATTCGTAATTACTTAAAAAAAACCTACTAATTTTTTGTTAATATTAAACCAGACATCCTTATCCTCTTTCCTTATGCCTTTTGAATTTGTAATGGGTACACGTCGTAAACGGTTTTTTTCCAATTTTGAAACTGATTTATAAAATACTACTTTAATTCAAACTTTTTTTGGTCAATGTTTACACAACTCAATCTGTCTCATTGTACTCCAGTTAGACATCATAAATCTAATTGTCTCAGAAAACATAAAGATACATATAATGTTTATATGATTCGAAAAAAAGAAACTAATCATCGATTTGAAATCCATATATGAATATCTAAACTATTAAAAGAGGAATACAAACAGGAAATATCATTTAGTTTTTTTTTTCTCAAAAATTACAATCTTATGCAACTAGAATTAAAACATTGTTGTTTTACTCTTTTTTTTTTTTTAAAAAAACCCTACATTTAATATTTTCAAAAATTAAAACCTTATACCACTAAATTTAAAACATTGTAGTTTTACCCCCTTTTTTTTAAACAAAACCTACATTCAATATTTTACTAGAGTTTTGATCTGCACTTTCATGCGGGTATATTTTTCATTTTTAAATATATATATATATATATATATATATATATATATTAACATAAACATTTTATATCGTGTAATTTTGTAATTTTATTGTTTAGGTTTTTATTCAACATTATAAATATATAATAATTTTGTAAGTTTTACTTTGTTATTCAACATCATTAATATATAATGTATTTTTTTGTCTTTTATACATATCAATATATTTTTGAGTAATTACGATAAATTCATAATTTGAAACTTGTAAAGCTTTCATATATACGCGACATATATTCTGTGATTTTATATGTAAATATTTAACATATATATTACATTTCGTTAAATTTCTTAAGATATATGATATATTTTTGATTTATCCTTAATAAAAAGAGCAAATTGAGAGAATATTCTTGGCATAATTGGCATATTTTGTGTGATTTTGTATTTAATTGTTTATTTTATATATTATTTTGTTAAAAAATCGGGAAGATATATTCTATATTATCCATATATATAGGTTGATAAGTTCAAAATTTAGACAATATAATCTACTCTATTAAAATAGAGTCATTCTTTTTATCTACTGATACAAGTTGTCATTTAAATTTGGACTCTTTCTAGAATGTTACAAACAATATAAGTCATATAATTGATTGAACCGTATTACTTAAATTAAACCAACACAATTAATGTAAAAAGACGACTTTAATGTAAACTACCTTCAAAATACGTCAGGTATCTATGTGTATACCGAAAACACATATTTTCTCCTACAAATATGGAATATTCTAAAAGAATATATATCATCCAAATATGGAATATGGAAATTTACTAATTATACTTAAATTAAACCATTGGTTATTTATGGAATGTAATCTTGGACTTACTTTTATTTTTTGAACAAATTATATAGTTTGGTTTTTGGGCTTAGTATTAAGAAAAAAATTTCAAAAACATTAAATAAACTTTTCACCTTAAAAGATCAAAAAATCAATTATTATTTTCAGACCCAAAAGGTATTTAATATTTTTAACAAAAAAAATTGTCTATTATTAATCATTTATTTAAATCATGTACTTTAAAACATGTTAATATATATTTTTTATTTTAAATAACAATCACTTTGTTTTGATAAATTTCAATGGTAACTTTTAAATAATTTTTATTTTATTTTTCTTAAATAATTTACTGATTTAAAAAATGTAAAGCAAAACCAAAAACCAAAAACCAAATCTAAAAACTAAAATCCAAAACCAAAAGCTGAAAACACATGTTATATTTTTTGCTTTGTTTATTTACAAAATAAACTATTTCAAATTTTTTGAAAAAAATTTGTTATCATCTTTTCAGTTTTAAATTAGATGTTCGATTATTTGAGATTTGTTTGTTGGTAATATTAGTTCAAACTAACTCAGCGGGTTTAAAATTAAAAAACCCAAACCAAAAATTGAAAATGAAAAGTAGAAACTTAAAAACTAAAAACCAAAAACCAAAATCTAAAAATAAAAAAAAAACTAAAAACTAATGAAAAACAATCATCACCACAAATTTTGGTGAAATGATTTTTTTATCAAAATATTCTTTAAATTAAGACAAAACCCAATTATATAAATTTTTAATCATAAAAAATTTCCGCGCTTTAAAAGCGCGGGTCAAAATCTAGTTTAAACAATGAATGGAACAATAGTTTGTTAATGTACGTGACAGTATTGTAAAGAATAGAGTATAATAAGAATAAACTGGTGTTTTATGTAGTCTAAAGACTTGTAACTTTCAGTTTTAAGAAAATGATGATGATTGTGGATACATAACTGTAATATGTAGTTTTGTTGATGATGAACTTGAATATGAATTTATAATATATAAATGGTTGGCAAGTATGTAATATTACTTATAATGGTCATACTTTAATATATATGAATGTATAATTGTAGTATGTAGTTTTCTAATAGATACATATAGTTGAAATAAATTAAGTGAGTATATATCCGTACGATGTATATTATAATTTACATACATATATATATATATTTATATATATATGCGATGTTAAATATAAAGGTCAATATAAAAGTATGTTCATGATAATGTACGATTAATAAGGAACATTATAAAGGTTATTGTTATGCTGGATTTTTATATTTGTTAGGATTGGAAATAAATGGTCCTATTTGGACTAGCTAATAGTAGATCTAACACTAATAAAAGTAGCGAACAAAGCCATATTAGAATGCCACGTACGCCAATATATTTAGCCAATAAGAATGCTTAAAATTGACATGTCATTCTGGTTTGTCTCATCAAATCGAATTTTGAATACCGACCCGGTTTGGTTATTACCACATCCTGGTTTTATTTTGGTCGGGAATTTAATTGCTTTACATTTGTTGTTGCGGAGAATCCTAGAAAGTAGAAACTCATCACCTATCTTACCCTTCGACTTCCTCCTGAGATGAGCTAATCTCTCATCAGTTTTTCGATTAATCAATCCCACCCTCTATCTCATCAATCCTTCGGTTTCTCTTTTGTAATGGACTTCTCCTTTCACCTTCCTCGCCATTTATGTACTTATAGGCCTTTCATCTTAGTTTTTGTTCCGATCAAAGTTTTAATAACCTCTACTCTCTTTCACAAACGATCCGATGGAACCCAAGAAAACCAACAAGAATTTACTGTCCTCCTCCGCGGCTGCTCAACAGAGGGGGAACTCCTCCTCGGCGACTGCTCAACAAGAGGGGAACCATTCCGATTCCTCTGCGATTGGCTCCAAACCTAACGGCAAGTCTCCAGTTACGACTCCCACTCCGACGAGGCCAAAAGCTCCTATTGCTCTCCCTCATCCGATGTTCTTCAGGGATTACTAACCATTCAAACAGTCCTCAATCATTTGGCGGCCTAGAATTTAATGAGTTTGGTGGAAGCTCAATGTTGGGTGCAATTCTTGCTTGGGACACTGAACTGTCTTGGACGCCGTAGGATGCTATTGAAGCACTTTAGGAGACGAATTGGATTGAGGTTAGTGATTGTCTATCCTGCGAATCTTGGTTCCGACCAATCTATTGTTTGGGTTGTGTGTGTGAAAAGTACTTTTGTTTTGATTTCTTGGAATTAAAAAGTACGAAAACTGATTCATTGTTTGGAATAACGTATTGGCCTTAACTGATACATGGTTTGTCTTCCTGTTCTGTACAAGAAATTCATGGCATACACTGAAATTCTCAAAACATGTGAAGATCAAGAGGAGTTACAAGAGGTTTTGACCTTCAAATGCTAGCAAGAAGGCGGATCAATGGGAAGCTTTTTGACTATACTCTGTGGACATTCCTTTTACCTGTTCTTCTGTCCAATATTTGTGTTACCAGTGTTAACAATGGGGGCTTCCTTTAACCCACGTCTGTTTTATTCTCCTCAACAAATGAAATGTGTTTCACGTAGAATTTAAAGCACTAAATTTCTCTCAGGGTTATGGAGATGGGGAAGAAGCTTGCAGAGAAGATAAGGATCAAATGGCCTTACATTGTCGTGAGTGTATGTGTGTTGCTCTCACTATTAAAGCTTCTTTTATTATTATTACTTTTTTATAATTGAGTATAATATGCTTACGTGATATAGTTCAAATAGGAATATATATGATTTGTGTAATTTGATTGTTACTGCTTTCAATGGTGTATATATGTTACTTTGTGGCTTTCAGAATTCATTTTATACACCATTGAAAGCAGTGACAATCAAATGATTTATGTAATTTGATTGTCATCTCCAGTCATTGGCTTCTTTTTTTATTTGGTGTAGAAAATGAATTCTGAAAGCCACAATTAGCTGCAGGGAAAGTAACTGGAGATGAAAGACAACTTCTTTGGAAGTTTTGTTTCTCTCTGATGTCTGAAAGGAGAACGCTAACAAAGTTTCTTTGCTGTGTCGAGTGGAGTGATGTTCAGGTAAACGCACATTGATTTTACTCATTCCTGATTATTGTAAAAACTGGTGAGATGTTTTTTAGTTCAATATCTGAGGTATGGATACATAAACATGATGCAAAAGAAACGGCATAACGTCTCTAAATTCCAGAAATTTCAATATGCTAACTACTTCTTAGCTTTTCAATCAAAAGCTAACATGTATAGTTCTTTATCTCATGAGCACCTGATGATTACGACATATTAACAGAAAGTGTGGGAGATGGAAGGCTTTTCTTTGATGGGGAAGCCACGACAAGGACAAGGCGGTACCCTGCAACCATGCATGGAGCTTTCGTTACTGATCTCAGAGAAGCTGCTAACAAAGTGATCAACTTTATAGATCTTAGACACAGTTTGCTGCAGATCTGATATAATTTCTGTGTTTGATTGATTACCCTATAAACTAAACTACAGTCTTGATATGATTTTCATCTGGTATTTAATGTATTCACGTATCTCTCTGTCTTTTATTGTGAGTTTATTATATGTGTTTGTTTGTTTTGTAGTAACTGAATCTGTCTGTGTGTTCTTTGTCAGCGAATGGGACATGAGTCTTCTGGGACATGGACGAATGTAAGAACCCTGAGGGACGCATTCCCTATATTTGATGAGATGACCAAAGCAGGCCATCACCCATCTTTCTTCACATATGGTAGTCTTCTCAAGGGGTTATGCAAAGGTGGGCATTTGAAAGAGGTAGAGAAGTTTCTGAGAAGCCTCCATGATGTCCCTGCAGCTGTTGATACTGTAATGTACAACACAGTACTCACTGCAATGTGTAGATCAGGGAGCTTGGACAAGGCTGTCTCTCTGTTTGGTGAGATGGTGCAGCGAAACATTCTGCCTGACAGTTATACATATACCAGTCTTCTTTCTGGGTTGTGTAGGAAGGGCAAGACTGTTATCGCCATACTCTTTGTTAAGGAAGCTGAGGCTCGAGGTAATTTACTTCCCAACGAGGTGATGTATACATGTTTTGTGGATAGTATGTTTAAAGCTGGCCAGTGGGAAGCTGCTTTTCATTTCCGGGAGCAGATGGAGAAGCTTGGACTTACCCCTGATACTGTCACAACAAACGTAATGATTGACGGTTACTCAAGGATGGGGAAAATAGAGAAAACTAATCACATGCTTTCTGAAATGGAACCTAATCTGACTACCTACAGTATCCTTTGCATGGGTATTCAAAGAGGAAAGACATTGGGTAAGTCCAAGCTCATCTGCTTTTTTAATATAAAGCAGGTCACTCAATAATGATTTTTGGTAATAATCATTCATTACCGTTTATTAGACATATTCTGTTGAATGTTGGTCTACGCGGTCCTGTTTCGATCTAATGTTAAGCTCAATCATTTTCACGCAGGTTAAAAATATTTCTCTAACACTTTTAAAAAAGAAAATCTTTTACTTATATATGTGAGACATATAGTTGAATGGTGTTAATTTCAGGAGAGAAACGTGCGAAGATGACGGAAATATTGGAGAACATAGTTTCGTGGTCATGTGAAAATCCAGAACCATCGACGGGAATACTACTTTTGGGACACTTGGAAGCCGCAGATGATGCTGACATCACTGAGGTTACTGAACTTCAAGACTCAGAAAAATTATCACTTTGTGATTGTGACTAGAATCTCCACCTCCTCCAATGGTGGTCGTGTGTCTGAGGGCTATTCCTCGTGGTGGATTCTAAGTTTAATTTGGTTAAGTAAGTTTGAATAACATTTTCAAAAAAAAGGACAAAAGTAATTTGTAGTTTCTTAGTTTTTGTTATGTGTACTCTTTTTTTTATTAGTTAATGTTGGATAATCAAAATCATTTTTTTCCTGGAAACTTATATTATGTCTCGGAAGTAAAGATAATATTTTTACGAGATGTTTAATTTATAACTAGTGTTTTCCTGCACAATTTTTTTTTAAACTTAATTATGTTTAATAATAAATTTATTAATATTAGAAATTTTATTATTTTCTTACCACTAATTTAAATATAGATTTGATTTAGTTAAACATTAGATAATGATAAACTATTTTTATTTAAAACTATATTTAAGAATATATATGCATATATTTAAAATTATAATCTTAGATAGATTTTTCTATCCATTTATATTACTTAAATATGTTGAGTTAATGTGTATAAAATTAATAAAGTGATATAAAATTGTATAATTATCAAAAATTAAACTAAACAGTATTTAAAAATTTTGTAGATAAATAAGAAACTAATTAATGATTTCTATTTTTTAAAAATTATAACAAATTTTCAAAACTTTGGTAACAAATTTTTATAATATAAAAAATAAAAGAGAATAAAATTTTGAAATTTGTAATGTTATATTTGATTATATTATTTTAAAGATAATGTATGAATTTACCATATTTTAGTTTTTTTATCATAAATAAATATCAACATTAAATGTAAAGTATGTGTTATTACTTTATTTAAAAAAGTTTAACAAAAATATAAATCAAGATTAAATGTAAATATCTATGTCATATTTTGTTCTAAGCTATGTCATCAATTTTAATAGTCATGTCACATTTTTTTTTTGTGAAATTGATTGTAGAAATAACATGTGACAAAATCACTTTGCAAATAATAACTAGAGAATTTCTCCTGTTTATTTTTTTCTGTTTTCCACAATGCTAGAAAATATATTCATCATTGGGAAACAAATATTGGGTAAATGCCACGAATAAAATGAATATTCAGTTGCAACTAATCAAATAAAATAAATATTTTGCATTTAAATTAAATTAAATAGAATATCAAAAATAATAATTCATATATAAATTAGAAATTGATAAATATAACAAATCAAAGTCATAATCCGCGCGTAGCGCAGAAAAATGATCTAGTAAAAATAATGATTCTATTTTACTAGAATAGATTAACTTGGTCCATTAAATATAATTAAAATTTAATATATATTCTGATGAAAACAAAATTTGAACATAGTAATTAAGTTTTGGCCCGTTTTAACATAAGTTCATAACCAAATAACTTAAACTAATAACTGTAATTAAATATTTTCTTATTTTTATGCTTTTTATTAAATTTAGTTTCATTATTATTATTTTCTGTCTAAATAATAAATTTGTATTTAAAAATCTCAATAATAGTTTTAAACTTTATATAGAAATATTCTGACATTTTACCGTTTACTTCCAAATAAACTAAATAAAGCACAATAAAAGAAAAAAAACATAATCTTATAGTTTATAAGTGAACACTAATCAAGTTGAACAAGACAACCCAATATTAATCATGGATAACATATGAATTTATAACATAAAAGACATAAACAATTATATTTGTCACATTCTTAAAGATTTAAAATTTATTATTATGAAAAACAAACATCCACGTGGGGGCGGATCAAAAGCTAGTTAATCTTAAAAAAAGAATATAACGTGTTGGGGTAACCGTAATTCTAGCCACATGCTTCTTTATACAAAAGATAACTGAAGTGTTTTTCAGATTACCAAAGATTTGACGAATTCTAAGATATGAGAATGTTTTATTTAGGGAAGTTTACCGGAATAACACAAATTTATCATAATATTATTAGAATAACTAGGAAACCACCCCGCGCGTAAACGCGCGGGAGAAAAGATATTTTTTTAAAGTAATTTTTATATAATTTATATTTGTTAGTCAATCATTTTGAATCATTTAATAAACTAATTATTTTGTACGAAGATCAATACTTAAAAAATAATCATATATAATAGAAGAGTGAAAATATAATTTGTGTTTGAAAATGTATAAATTTAAATGTTATGTGTTTAGCATAACAATATTAAGTAAACTTTAATATTAAAGTCGCAGTCATTTTCTTTTATCTTTTTATATATGAGAAGACAAACTTTTAAAATTTGTTGAAATGATGGAACAGTTTAAATCTTTTAATTAAATAATATNTTTAAATGTTATGTGTTTAGCATAACAATATTAAGTAAACTTTAATATTAAAGTCGCAGTCATTTTCTTTTATCTTTTTATATATGAGAAGACAAACTTTTAAAATTTGTTGAAATGATGGAACAGTTTAAATCTTTTAATTAAATAATATAATATATTTTAAAACACTGTAATTATCATGCAAAGAACGACATTTTTAAATCTATGAGGCTTAGTACCTCCATACAAACTGGGTTAGAAATACAAAAAAAGGACTTTATCAGAAGTAGAATAAGAGATTACACAAAAAAATTTAGGTTGTTTTCTTACAACCAGATTGGTTTGGATATGGTAGTTTAGTTTCACTGAAACTAAATCTATTAATTTATTTTTACAGACACCACATTAAATTTTTTAAGATCGTTTAAAACTATATAATGCATCAAACATTATATTCAAGAGTACTAAGAATCATACCTATATTAGAAAAAAACACATAAATTTTCTTAAAAAATTGCATCTGTAAAACGTTATATTTTTAGTAATCTGAAAAGGTACATTGATAGATTATCAAGAGTTGTGTTTTGTTTTAAAATAAATATTTTCAAGAGTTGTGAGGAAAAAAAGTTCAACCAAATACATTTTCAGGACCATTAGATAGAACATAATAATTACAACCACGAGACTGAAACTCTTCAAAAAAAATTTTTAAAATCAAGAATTAGGGAAAAATATGACTCTTCAAATGAAAGAGATGTGTTGTTTGGAAAAAAAAATAATTGCTCATAGCAATTTTAGTTTAAGTATAAAAAAATTATTAAGACCAATAGAAGAAAAAAAAAACAATTATAACCAATGATTCTAATCCTTCAAATATGAACAAGTATGACTCTTTCATGTAAAAAGATGTGTTGTTTGAAAAGAATCTATATATAATAGCAAACTGAAAGTGACATCAGCATTTTTTTATAGGAAAAAAAAATTCAATCTAATGGTCATAGTTAACTTGATTTTAAGATCTAATGGACCAAAAAAATCTTTTCATATGATTGATGATGTCATCAAATATTTGACACCTCTTCATTGAAAATTCATATATTTCATTTTAATAGCCACAATCATATTTGTCATACATTTTCATAAGTTTAAATATTAATATTGACTTTTTAGAAGATAATATTTGTATGTGTCGTGACCGAAGAGGTATGAACGTATCGTGATTCAAGAGGTACGAACATGTCGTGACCGAAGAGGTACAAATGTGTCGTGACCCAAGAGGTACAAATGTGTCATGAACCAAGAGGTACGAACGTGCCGTGACCCAAGAGGTGCGAACGTATCGAAACCGAAATGGTGCGAACGTGACGGGACCGAAAGGGTGCGAATGTATCGGGACCGAAAAAGTGCGAACGTGTCGGTACCGAAAGGGTGCGAACGTGTCAGTACCGAAAGGGTACGAACGTGACGGGACCGAAAGGGTGCGAACGTGTCGGGACCGAAAGGGTGCGAAAGTATCGGTTCCGAAAGGGTGTGAGCATGTTGGTACCGAAAGGTTGCGAACGTGTCAGGACTGAAAGGGTGCGAACGATTCGGGACCGAAAGGGTGCGAACTGTTCGTGACCGAAAGGGTGCGAACGGTTCGGGATCGAAAGGGTGCGAACGGATCGGGACCGAAAGAATGGTTCGGGACCGAAAGGGTGCGAACGGTTCGGGACCAAAAGGGTGCGAACGGTTCGGGACCAAAAGGGTGCGAACGGTTCGGGACCGAAATGATGCGAACGGTTCGGGACCGAAAGGGTGCGAACGGTTCGGGACCGAAAGGGTGCGAACTGTTCGGGACCGAAAAGGTGCGAACGGTTCGGGACCGAAAGGGTGCGAACGGTTCGGGACCGAAAGGGTGCGAACGGTTCGGGACCGAAAAGGTGCGAACGGGACAGAAATTCTAATTGGACTTCATGTCACTACACATCATCGTCTTTGTTTTATTCCAAGCTCCATAGAGAAGAATAATGCAATAATCGATTTGGACATCATGTTAGTATAGAAGATTAAACCAATTACACTGATTGACGATCATGTTTATATACACTATCGTTTCTGCTTCATCTCAGGTCATTACCTGCCCACAGAAACAACTTAAAT